AGATAGGTCTCATGACAGTATCCCAAGTAGACATGCCCTATGGAATGAAAGTACTAGTAAACATATTAAACCGAAGAGGCTTCAGAAGGATGGTGTGGAATACATTATGTATATGCATTTCCATTGGTAAGTCAATAGAGTATGAGACCGGATGGATCTGCGTCAGGATCTTTAAATGGAAAAATGAATTGAGGTGTCTGCTTCATGGAAGATGCTTGGAGATGGATATCATGGGCAGAGAATCATATCCGTTCCATCAGGTGGTAAGAAGAAGCTGCTCAACAGTGTTTATCAGCTTCTATCCTTTGCTGTACGGAAGATTTCACTGAGAGAAGCTGAACCTTCTCTAAAGTTCAACATAAGTTCAACCAGCTAAATTCCCATCCAGACTTGGCATTTCTTGTGAAGCCAATGCAGTCAAGAGATCGGTGGTATGCTGGCCATACCCTACGTACAAAGGACTGTTGCCAGAAGACTTATGAGTAGTGATTTTGAGAGAAATCAGAGAGGTCAGCCCAGCCATCTTGGTGGTGGAAAAGAAAACAGTGAAGGTATTGTTCGAGGGACTGGTTAGCACATTTGGCAGCTCCATTGGACTGGGGATAGTAGGCAGAGAAGTAGGAAATGGTAATACTATCTCCATGCAAAAGGCTCTCTAGAAACGGGAAATAAACTCACTACCTCTATCTAACACCTCTATCTATCTAATAATTTGTTAAGGAATGATGTGTAAACAAAACACCTCCATGCAGAAGACCTTTTTTTAAAATTGATCTATGATCATAAGTATGACAGTATATCCATTGGAAGGTCAACAATTAAATCCACCACTAGATGAGACCAAGGTTTATTGTGAATCGGTAAAGGATTACGCAATCCACATGGTAATATATTTATAGTTTTCACCCTAGCACAAATATCACAGGCCAAAACGTTCTGTAAGGAGAGCCACCAAAATTTGGGGAAGAGAGTAGAAATAGTTTTAATACTTGACTACAAGTATTAGAAGCATCCATCATAACATGCATTTGCTGAAAAGGAATAGTAGCTTGACTTTGAGGAGACAAGTAAGCAGTCCGCTCCAAAAGAGTTTGAAGTGCTTGTGAAACTGGACCATACAATGGTCCTATTATTTCTCAAAAGCTGCTAACTTTTGTCCCTAGCCTGCAGGGTCTATGTCCCTGTCTAATATCAAGATGCTATACACACATATGCTGAACTTGGGAAAGTAGACAGAGAATTGAATAAAGTATATTACCAGACCATAGAGTGGCCCGGCTTAACGTAAAATAGAGTGGAATTGTGAATGATAGATTAGTCAAGGTCAGGGTTACAGAAATACAGAATATCAAACTCTAGCCGAGGTCAAGGTAACAGATATAATAGCTAAGGTCAAAACAGAAAATCAGATATAAGCAAATATAATGCTCTGATCAAGAACCAAGACAGAAATTATGACAGGGCAATGGAAATGGGGTCAAAATGCCTTAACTACAGCAAGGCATGCAATGTCTGGTCCACATCTCTCCAGTGACCCCAAAAAGTGCAGAAACAAGTTCTCTGGTGTGATGTGGTCACTTGCAGACTGGAAGTGACAGGGCACATTTTGAATCTATTTATTGACGAACTTTGTGAGCAGCCAGTGTCCATTATAATGAAGGGAAGCGGGCCACGTGTGCGATCTACCAGATCGAAGCGCATGGCATGCAGGAGAAGACTGGAATGCATGTCAAGAGGGAGAAGAAATCTAAGCCTATGCTTTGCATGTTTATTTGTATGCAATATCCATAAATTGCATTAAAATGGAAATCTAACCCTTTAAGGGGCTTTTTTATAGGTATGAGACTCAAAATTCGGTGCCAATGCTATTGCAATGGATCTTCCATGATGGGAAAAGGTCATCAAGCCCTAGAAAACTGCTCAAAATAAATGGTTCGCTGTAGCAATCGTGACATTCCTACTAGTAGAAAGCACCTCGAAGAAGTGGTTTAATGCATTGCAAGGAAGTGTTTTTCTTGTTTTTTTATGTTTTCTATTTTAAACTCTGTTTTGCAATAATTTCACCTTAGGCATGACAGCGTGATAAATGGAAAACCTGAACAGCTTTCAACTCTTGATCATTCTTCAAAAAAAAAACAATAAATACCAGCCAGGAATTGAGTTACAATCAGATGATTATTTAGTGCCCGGGGATTAACACAGTCAGGTAATGCTCTGTTTCTACTGACTGCGGTTTGTGTATCGCTAATCCTTTTTTTTTCAGGTTTATGGTGATTCTAACAGCAAAAAGAAACCAAAGCAAGATAATGCATACTTTGTGTATAATGGCACATAGGAGTAGAGGAGTACTGCAGTAAACCTTGGAGAATGGCCTAACAAAATATGTAAAAAAAATTACTATCATCCTGTCTTTATATTTTCACCCAGTAAAAGAGAACTTTGCTATTAGTAAAATATATATTTCTTCAAAATACCAGTTGAATGTGTAATTTTAAAGATCTGATTTTTTTATTTTTTTTATTAACGTATGGACCTTTTACAACAGAAACACTGACGACCAGTTGCAGGAAAAAGAGGCGCGAATTTCGACAGGTAATATTAATTTTCACATATCACAAACTCATATTTGTTTAATATAGGGGAAAAGAAAACATTATATAAAACAATCAGAGAAGTGGCAATTCCAGCTCAAGTAAAATAGTAAAGTCTTTAACTCAAATATTAAAGGGACACTCACTATATGCACCCAGGCCATTTCATCTCATTGAAGTGGTCTGGGTGCATTGTCCCTGTCCCCCTTAGTCCTGAAATTAAAACACTGCAGTTTTTGAGATGATGTACTGTGTTTCCCCTTGACATCATTATATTTGCCTAATCTTTGTCATGAAGGGGTTAACAGTGGTGTTTTTTGACCATAGAGTTTGTTGGAGTTTTGGGTCACTCTAAACATTAGTTTCACTATTACAGTCTCCGGGCTCAGCTGACAGTGGATTTTACACAAAAGCCCAGAAAGTCCCCCCAGTTTCTAATCACATCCGTTATCGAGAACCTTTTTATTGACCCACATAGCCTTCACATCAATGTGGTTTCTATTTAAGGTCACTGAAACACAACAGGCCTCTGGGCTCGCTGCTGACAGATGCACTCTAACAGGTTTTTCAGGCTAAACATACATCATGCAAGAAAACACTTACTGCTTCCTGTGCATTGCACAATGCCTTTAGCTTTACCTTTCTCATTAATGTTGATTTTGAATGTCTTAACCTTTCGAGTGCCGCAGTGGTGATAGAAATTCTTCAATTAAGGTCAAAATTAATTCCAAAGGCCTGGACTACCAAATGAATGTTAACCAAGTGTTTTTCAAACTACAATTTAAACTGAAGTTACCATGAACCACTACCAGCAAATGGCTAGTTACAGATTGGGGAGCATTATGGGATTTGTAACTCATTATCACTTGGTGAGTATAGGATAGATAGACCTCCCAGCAGTTCCACATGTGTAAGGGCTGTGTTGATAAGGGCAGAGGAGCTCCAGAGTCTTTGCATTATTTATTCAAGGTCTTGGCTTTGTATACACTAGATATAATCACAGGGACATGGATTTACTCTGCGAAAAAGACCTTACAAATGCATATTTACCTGGTGCTATCAAGCCCATAGAGTATCACGACAGGATGGCAATCAGAGGGAGAAATCCGCTTTATTCATAGCATAGCTGTCGGCATCGCCAAGATGTCAGGGAAGAAGAGGGAGAGGAAACCTTGCCGAAATTGATGGAAGGATGGAAGGATATCCAGGAACTGGGCTCCAGAACATCCCATGTGGAGTCAACAATGAGCGAAGATGCGGAGACACATAATGGCCTAGCAGATCAACCTTGAAAAAATATCAGAGAAAAACAATCTCTGGATGAGTACCAGAGCTGATTTTTGCCCAAGATTCACCTTCATATTAGGCAGGGTATTTCTGTTTGCTGGTGCCAGATATACCCCTGGACATTTTGCTTCTAGGGCACATAGAGTTCCATAAATCCAATCACCTCCCCAGTTCCAAATCACGCAATGTCCTGCTGAGACTGCACTTTAATGACACATATAACATATAGTTACAAAGCTGAAAATAGACAGAAATACATCACTATCAGTCTTTCTCACATCAGTTTTTGCTGTTGATCTAAAATAAGGCAAAAAACACAGTTTGAAGTGCTTCCAATAATGCAAAAAATTTTTTGTTGGCCTCAGAATGGCAGTCAGATCTCTCACCGGATTAAGAAGCTATCAAGAAGCTTTAATTTTAAAATTATGTCACTGAACATTGTGCTTTTGCAACTATTCATCCAGTTGCTGTTTAAACATCTGTACAGACTCTGATAAAACCACCTCTTCAGCCAGAGAATTCCACATCCTGATTGTTCTTACTGTAAAAACCCTACCCTTTGCCTTCGACTTAATCTCCTTTCTTCCAGTCTAAATGTGTGACCTTGTGTTCTGTGTATAGTCCTATGAATAGATTTCCAGTCAATCGTATTGGCCTTAATTAATTTGTATAATGTTATCATATCCCCTCTGAGGTGCTGTTTTTATAAACTAGAGAGATTTAAATGTGTTATCCTTTCTTCATAACTAAGATGTTCTGTTCCTTTTATTCATTTTGTTGCCCATCTCTGCACTTTTTCTAGTGCCATAATATCCTACTTTAGAGCAGGTGCCCAAAATTGCACAGCATATTCAAGGTGTGGTCTTACCATTGATGTATAAAGAGGTAAAATCATATTTTCATCCAGAGAATGAATGCCCCTCTTTATACATGACAATACCTTACTGCCTTAGCAACTTCTGAATAACATTGTTGCCTAGTTGTTGTCTATATTTTTTTCAAACCTTTTCTGCATGTTGTTATCCCTAATCCACCACAGTTTAGCGTGTTTAATTTAAGTTAATTTAGTTACTCCAATGGCCATTGGAGGGAATGCCCGCCTACCAACGTCAAGGCAGACCCCCTTAGGTGGGCTTCCTTGAGCTTCTGGCAAAGATATCTCTAATGAGACAGAGAGGTGTATTTTTTATATACACCCCTATATACCTATTAACCATTAATAGAGAACACATGGGATGGGCGGCAGCTTTGTAACCTAGCTGTGTGATACAAAAAGTAAATACAAATACAAAAAAAACAAGTCCTGCGCTCACTCCCATCTCTCCTGGGCCGCCTGCCAACGTCAAAGCAGACCCCCTCTAGGCGGGTCCTACACTGACCTTTCACCTTGCTTCCTTGGGCTTCTGGCAAAGATATCTCTAATGAGACAGAGAGAGGTATATAGGGGTGTATATAAAAAATACACCTCTCTGTCTCATAAGAGATATCTTGACATTGGCATCAAACATTTTTTTATCATATTTTATAATTAGTTTTTATAATTTTGATAGTAAATTGTATGATATGTTGAAAATAATGGTATCTTTAGAAAGACCATTTAATTACAGCTAAACACAAACACCGCAGAAATGTAAAAACATCCCTGGTCCTTAATGGTAAGAAAATGGAAAAACGGCCTGGTCACTAAGGGGTTAAGGACATCTCCAACACTATGGGCAAACACCATCTGCCTTAAAAATAGGGATTCCCTGCATAGATTCTGGTACACAAAAATACAAGGTACAGGATACAAGATGATGTGTGCTTGGGGCCTGATCAGGGCTGCCATCAGGGGATGACAACCATAACGGAGGTCACGGGCCCGGCGGCCCTGGGGGGCCCGAGCGGCGAAACTGCCGCAGGTGCATCTGCACCGGGGCCCATCAGGTGGCCCAAGCATTTAGGGCCACCCGATGGGCCCAATATCTTCAGGGGCCCGGTCAGTGCTGCGGCCTTGTAATTGCGCGACCGGGCCCCTTTAAAAAACATTGTGGCTGCACCGCAAGTGCTGCTGGGAGGAAGTGACGGCCGGTCACATTCACACTTACATTTTCAGAATCAGCATACTCCAAATACAAACATATGTCAAAATCATTAAAATTGGTCCATTGGTTCAAAAGATAGATCGAAGTCCTTTGTGACCAAATGAAGCATGGCTTTTCTGCCCAAAACCAGTTCCACAGAGTCTTCTATCCTGGAGATAATTGAGAAGTAATCCAATTATCTCCAAGGACAGAGGCAAAACTCCATTAGCCACATGGTAGCAAAATACAGTAAAATACAATAAAATACACAAGGTTACATTTATTACATAAAATACAGACATGCAACATATCCCCAGATAGCTTAGGTCTGAGCGCACATTATTACTGAATGGCGCTCAGACCACACACATACAGTTCAATTGCCATGGAGCCAAAGTCTTTTATTACACGAATAGGCTCCATGGCATAGCTATCTGGGTTAAATGAGTTCATTCAGTAAATCCGAGAATCTACCGAATGCCAGGGCAGAAATACATGAATAGACCTTTCTGCAGAGGAAAATAAAGTATTTAAATACCGGTCCATAGTCAAAAGGCAGCAGGCAGGCAACCAGGCTCCTCCAATGCACAGTGGCGAGATTGGTCTCGTCACAGTGTGTACTCCTGTGGGCGGTATTTGGAGGCGGGGCTTGGAGGTGAGCACCTGGGGGCCCAGACCTTGAGCTGTGTTAGGGGCCCCACAATTTCTGATGACGGCCCTGGGCCTGATGACAGTATCTATGGCCAATAATTCACTGCATAGTAAAGAAAAGGTATAGTTTGATATCAGTGCTATTTTCATCCAGATATGATAATAAAAATAATGTTTTAATAATATTGAACTGTGCAAAGCTTCTATATTTTTATATAGTGTGCAGCCATGCAAGGGATAAAATCGCAAAAATCCTCCATAGCAATGAAAACGTAATAAACTATAGTAAAAAAAATCCCCCAAAGGCAGGCGCTGTAGCTATTCAAAGAACCTATAAGATACTCATAAGTTCCTTTTGTTATTTATTTCTCAACATATTTTATTTCTATTTGTTTTTTGTTTTTTTGCCTGGTGGGGGCTAATATCCCCCCTCTAATAATGTTGTAAAGCGCTACGGAATGGTGTGTTACTGTGTGTGTCTGTTATTATTATTATTATTGCCATTTATATAGCGGTTATGAAGTGTGTTAGTTTGTGTGCGTCTGTTAGTGAGTGTGTGTTTTGTAAGTGAGTGTGTATGTGTCTGTCTGTCAGTGAGTGTGTATGTATGTCTGTCACTGAGTGTGTGTCTGTCAGTAAATGTGTGTGTCTGTTAGCTAGTGTGTATGCGTTTGTTCTTGAGAGTGTGTGTGTGTCTGTTAGCTAGTGTGTGTGCGTCTGTTCGTTAGAGTGTGTGTGTGTCTTAAGCACTTACCTTTCTCCAGCGCCGGACTCCCTTGGTGCTGGGGATCTCTCTGCCCCGATCCGCCTCTCAGCTCCGAATGCGCATGCGTGGCAAGAGCCGCGCGCGCATTCAAACCGCCCATAGGAAAGCATTACTCAATGCTTTCCTATGGACGTTCAGCGTCTTCTCACTGTGTTTTTCACAGTGAGAATCGTGGAAGCTCCTCTATGAGACAGCCACTAGAGGCTATGAACTGCTATGTTTTCAGCTGCAGGGTTAAAACTAGAGGGACCTGGCACCCAGACCACTTCATTGAGCTGATGTGATCTGGGTGTCTGTAGTGGTCCTTTAAGTGTATGTGTATCTGCATGCACTGGCGTACATACCGCGGTCACAGGGGTCACAGCCCTGCGACCCCTGCGACCAGATGCCCGCCACCATGTGTTGCGGCCCAGCCTGCGCAGAGTAAGCGCGCGCGGGGGGGGGAGTGGGTGCCCATGGATCAGTTTTCGCACCGTGGCCCCATGGTTTGTGTGTACGCCACTGGCTTCTTCTGTGTGTTATGGTCAAATTTCCTCCCGGAAATCACAATACAGCCACTCATAGTGTAATATGTATTATCTTCATGCAAGTATATCTCCGAAGATTAAATTCACTCACTAAAGTTGGAGCCACAGTAGATTTAAGCTCATTTACAACACTGATGACACTTTTTTCAGGCAATGTTCAGCCCAATACTGCTTGTAGATTTATCAACTTTATAATTAGATAGTATTTAATGATAAAATAAAATGTACATAGAACAAATGGAAATAAAATGCTATGAAAAACAACCTGAAACGAGGTTGCTCTTGTTTTGTATTAGCATGTAAATTAGAAGAAAAGTGACCAGATCTTAAAGAGGTTTGGTTCTCCAGGCTTCCTCAGTCAGTGTTTCTTATTCAGTTTCTAGTGTTTAAATACAGAGCATTTCAAATTGTTATTAATAGCATTTTATCTGCTATGTAGTTCTTGTTACTTATTTGTTACTGTATATGGAACATCTTGGGCAGGTGTGCTCTTTGCTATGCACTAGTTGCTAGATACCATAGTTTATTAATCCCCCTTTAGTACATATGATATGCACACTGTCCATAATGTCGCATCTTGTTTCCTTTTGTTTTCTATTTTTCAACTCAGTTTTTACCTCTGGGAATTTTATGCCCATGTTTCCATCCAGTGGTCGCCAAAAGGTATAGTTGACTTCTCCATTATGTACTGGTCATTCCGTGGCTTAAGCTCTACCCTACAGTGGAGTCCCAGACAAATGTTAGAAAAAGTAGCGAACCTATTAGGAGTGTTTGATCTATTTTCTAAACTATGAAAATTGAATTCCAAAATGTGTTTTGAACACTCCATTTAAAAGAAGCCCTGTCCTTTAAAAAAGCTTAGAAAGCACAGGCAGATGTTCTCTGTATTTAAGAAATGAACTTCACTGACTCCAACCAAGCCTCTATAAAACCTGCAAATTTTTCTATTCAGTTTCATGCTACTACTAATACAAAAACAAGAGGAGCCCCTATCATTATTAGCAAGCAGATATCCTTTTCTCTTATTTTGTAAGTTAAGGACCCTAAGGGAAAATACTTGTTCAAAGTTCTCTCTATTAAAAACATTCTATACTATACACACTAGTAAACATTTATGCCCCCAAACCAACCACTCAAACTTTCTCCATAATTTTTTCTAAATTTGTCTAGCATACAATTTGCTAATTTCTGGAGACTTTAATCACATTCAAAAACACCAGTTAGATACATCTGGAATATCAGGCACACTAGTAACCCACTTGAAAACTTAAAGGCTCTTTCAAAACAATTGCTCAAACATGAGTTATATGATGTATGGTGCTCACTTGATCCAGGGGTTAGAGAATACACCTGTTCGTCTCAAGTATTTAACTCCTAGTCTAGAATAGATAAGGTATCTAATGCGAGGTTCATATTTGCCACAGGTGTTGCATTGTACGAGTGGTTTAGTGTCATAGTCGGACCATGCTCCGGCACTCCTAAAACTAATTTTTTGTTTATTTTATTGTACTTTGAAGCAAATATGCACTATATTTGTTTTTGTCTTTCACATATACTATGGAGAAGGCACTGCACATCCTAAAGCAGGGATTGTACTGCTCAAACAGACCTCATTGGAGATATTTAATAGCTCTATTTTATGTAAGTGTATCTCTTTTTCCCTCCATATCCACTATGTAGAATATACTGCACTATATTATCCATTGTCCTACTTCTCGTTGCATCTATAACCTGAGGTCACCTCAACTCCTTCCCACCATTTTCTCCTGTTTCTTCTGAAAAAGAGAGACTTCGGCTTGAGTTGTCCGAGCTGCCAATTTCCATCTAGCAGTATTTTTTTTTTTTAACCTTATTATTTGTGTGCTTTTTATGAAGTTTGTGTTGTGATCATATCTGTTAAGAACCTTATGAACACCAAAATATCTGTAACAGCCTGGATTTATGTCCGTATGCATAACGAGTCAATGGCACATTATGTGTGTCTACATCACAGTCAACCAATGCCAATCATATGTTTATATGCTTATAAGTTTATATATTCCCATATACTTACATGTCTTATGCTTACATGCCATGAGCTGTGGAAGTACCTAGTAAAGGAAACCACTTTTGGGTTATACTTTTAACCACTGCCCCCCATCCCATGGTCCCTCTCGAGTCTACCTATTATTTGTATTTTAAGTTACCCAATGTATGATTTGTCTTATTTTTGTTCATTCATCCTTGTGTTCTTTTGTATTTTATATACAACATTGGACATTAATCTTATCACCTATACTGTATTGTATTAACATTCATTAAGATGTACGTCTATGTGTTGCATTTCTTTATATGTAAAAATCAATAAAATTTCAAACTGATAAAACACCAGATATAATCAATTATGATGAGTAATGCCCGTTTGTGAGCATAATGACAGAGCTCTGCACAATAACAGACTTGTCCGTCTGGTTTCTAGGCACAGAATAAGCCAGCACTGACACGCACATGTTCCAGGCCTGTGAGCTCCCTTCACACCCCAGTCTATATCCTCTTAATTGTCAGAGGTATGCAAAAGCTTGTAGTGGAAGCATGCAATTAAATTGCATTATCTCCTAAGTGCGTGCCTTGTGGATGACTTGCGCCATTGGGTCACAAAGTTTAAGAGCCATCACTGAACCTCCACCAGCATTGCAACAGGCTCCTGAACAGCAGTGGAGGGAGACAGATATCATACACAGACCCACTGAAGGAGTTCAGTTAAAGGAACACTGTGGCAATATAAAATTTCAATCGATTGACGTGGTTATGGTACCTGGAGTCTGTGGATCTCTGGTCTTGCATCAGCTGAACGCTTTCAATCACTGCTCCAGTACCTGATATTATTTGATTTGGCG